TTACATATGGATGTGAGATTGCACCTTCCCAATGGGTCAATTGCAATGCTTGTTTTTTTTTTAAAAAAAAAAGTATTACACGGGTGCTTGTTAAAAATATTATTCTTAAATTTTATAACTTATATCATATAACTACTTGAAATATAAATATATTAATTGATAAATAATTTTATTTTTCTAATTAATATTAAAAAATAATTTTATTATTGTTATAAAAATTAATATAATTTATTTTTTTATACATACAATATGAATGTTAAATCAAAACTCATCAGGAGATGATTAATTGGATATATTATATATGTAATACTGATAAAAATACAAAAGTTATTAACTTTTAAAATGCATTTATAATCCAATGGTTATAATAAGATAAAATGTAATTAATACATGTAACATATCTATAAATAAACAACGTATTTATGGATAATCGGGACCTAATTATTTTTGAATTTGAAATAAATTAAAATCTACCCAAACCTAATAACGAAGCATGTAATTTTGGCGCATATGGTACCGAAGCATACAAGCTTGTCAGTTAGACTCAACAAGTTTTGAATAAATGTATAAGGAATATCATAAAAGCAAATATATTAGCTCATTGTATACATGGTTATCTCATTCTATGTAATAGGTTTTTCTAGTCTTTCTCACACGAGTTGATCAAGTATATACAATATTAAAATGATAAACTAACAACCCATTTTTCGAATTCCCATATAAATTCGTAAAACAGTCAGAAAATCAGAATTTATATGAATTAATTGACATTTTATCAAATACATAACTAAAAATTGTTAAATTTTGCAGTTAAGAAACAATTAATATATATACACTACATTTGTTTTGAATAATAAGTGCCGTTTTAAACACTTTATTTCATTTTAGAATATGTGTACCATAGTTTTCAAACGTTAGCATTAAATATTTTGGATTTAAAACAAAGTTATGGTAATATGGTATTAAAAACTAAAAAAAATAAAAATATTTAATTAACTAGATATGTGTATGTTAAATTTAATATTCTCGTACAAATGCATTTTATTTCGTGAAATACTATTTATAAATTTGCACCAAAAAATAAGTTCTTTAATTGGACTATTATTATTATTATTATTATTATTATTATTATTATTATTATTATTATAACTTTTGAGCAGGAATAAAATACATTTATTCAAATACGAATTTCAAGAATTTTTGTAGTTACATGATTTTTTGTTCCAACTATGTCTCATGAAATTCATATAAATTCAAGTGGTAAATGAATTGAATACCAGAACTTTTTTTTTTCTTTAAATATCAAATAAATACGTTAGAAGTTTTAGGGTATATTTAGTATATTTGATTAAAAAGCTAATTTATAGCTGGTAAGTTAAGGCTGTGTTTGGTAAGCCAAATAAGACTCGTTTGGTAGGACGAGCTTTTTTAAAAAGCTCGAGCTTATCTCATAAGTTACTTTGGGTAGCTTTTCAAATAAGCTAGTTGAATTTTTTATTTCAGCTAGCTTATCAGCTAATTTTACCAAACACTTTTATCATATAAGCTAGCTTTTCAACTATAAGCTATA